CAGACAAAATAGACTTTAACACAAAAACTGTTAAAAGAGACAAAGAAGGGCACTATGTAATGATTAAGGGATCAATTCAACAGGAAGATGTGACTATTATAAACGTATATGCACATAATTAGAGGGCACCTGGCTATTTAAAAGAAATATTAATGGATCTAAAGGGAGACATAGACTCCAATACAATTTTAATGGGGGACTTTAATACTCCACTTTCAGCAATGGACAGATCAACCAGACAGAAAATCATCAAGAAAACAAGAGAGTTAATCCAAACTATAGAACAAATAGACCTAACAGATATCTACAGAACTTTTCACCCCACAGTGGCAGAATACACATTCTTCTCATCATTGTCCAGAACTTTCTCCAGGATAGACCACATGCTAGGCCATAAAACAAGTTTCAGCCAATTAAAAAAAATCAAAATCATATTATGCATCTTCTCTGACCACAATGGAATGAAGCTGGAAATCAAATCAAGAATCTTTAGAATATATGCAAACACATGGAGAATGAACAACATGGTCTTGAATGAACAATGGGTCATTAGAGAAATCAAAAGAATTTCTGGAAATGAATGAAGATGACAATACAACATACCAAAACTTATGGGATACAGCAAAAGCAGTGTTAAGAGGAAAGTTTACAGCAATTGGTACCTACATCAAGAAATTCAGAAGGCACCAAATAAATGAGCTATCAATGCATCTCAAGGACCTAGAAAAACAATAAACCAAACCCAAACTAGTAGGAAAAAAGAAATAATTAAAATTAGAGAAGAAATAAATAAAATTGGAATAAAAAATACAAAAGATCAGCAAAATGAAGAGCTGGTATTTTGAAAAAATAAACAAAATCGACACACAATTGGCCCAATGAACCAAAAAAAGTGGGGGGGGGGTACCCAAATCAAGAAAATTAGAGATGTAAAAGCAAATATAATAAGACACAACAGAAATAAAAATAGTCAACAGAAATTACTACAAAGAGCTGTATGCCAACAAATCAAGAAACCTAGAAGGAATAATTAGATTTCTGGACACATACAACCTACCTAAATTGAGCCATAATGATAAAGAAAACCTAGATAGACCAATAACCAAGACAGAAATTGAATCAGTAATAAAGACTCTTCCAAGAAAGAAAAGCCCAGGATTGGATGGCTTCACTGCTGAATTCTACCAATCATTTAAAGAAGAGCTAATTCCAATTTTCCTCAAGCTATTCAAAAAAAATTGAAAGGGGGGAAATCTTCTGAAACCCCTTCTATGAGGCCAGCATCACCTTAATTCCTAAATCTGAATAATATACAGCAGAAAAAGATAACTACAGACCAATTTCCCTGAGGAACATGGATGCAAAAATCCTCAACAAAATTCTAACCAGTCGAATCCAACAACACATCAGAAAGCTCAATCACCTGGAATCCCAGAATACAGGGATGTTTCAACATTCACAAATCAATAAATGTGATACATCACATTAACAAATTGAAGAACAAAAACCATATGATTATTTCAATAGATGCAGAGAAAGCATTTAATAAAATAACTACCCCCTTTCATGATGAAAACTTTAAGCAAACTGGGTATAGAAGGAACATTGCTCAATGTAATCAAGGCAATTTATGACAAACCCACAGCCAGTGTCCTATTGAATGGGGAAACATTGGAAGCATTCTCACTGAGATCTGGAACCAGACCAGTATGCCCACTCTCACCATTGCTTTCAATATAGTCCTGGAAGTTTTAGTCAGAACCATTAGGCAAGGAAAAGAAATCAAAGGGCTACTAATTGGGAAGGAGGAAGTCAATCTATCCCTATCTGCAGATGATTTTGAAAGTTAATCCACAATGCAACAGCATTGGAATGCGGTGCAAAATAAGTGATGATTGTGTCAAGAAGATTCAGCCACCATCAATGGATTAATGATGGAAATGAGTGAGTTATAAAAATGAGTGTTATGATATGACAGAGCAGAAAGGCTGCTGATGGATCTGGTGCCATGTCCTTGGTGTTATAGCCTCCAGAATGGTGAGCCAAATAAACTTCTATTGTTTATAAGCTAGCCAGTCTCAAGTATTCTGGTAGCTAACAACAGAATGGATTGAGACATGACTCAGGTAAATTCCCTGGAAATCATTTTGCTGCTCTTTCAAAAATAAATAAGTCAACATCTTCACATTTCACGATGTAGTTTCTTTCTTTTTATCTTCTCAACCTCATTCCAGGAAAAATAAGGGGAAAAAGGAAGATAGCTCATTATCATACTATAACCTTTCTTGGACATATGTGCAAGTAACTGACATCAGGGAAGAGACATGGGTAAAGAAATAGAAGGCTCAGGAGAGGAAAAGAAAAATGTTTCTGTGGAACACACTGTTCTCAAGAAGATACCTTGGTTCAAGATCCATTCACATGCTTTTCTTTCTTCAAAAGCTAAAGCATCAGCTACTTAGACAAGCAAAACTACCAAGACAACTCATCAGGCTTACCTCTGCTCTCGTGCTTACAAGAGATCTCTAAAAGGCCACTATGGTGGTAGAAAATTTTTTCTCACTTTTGGTGAGCCTGGAACAATGATGACTTCTGCAGTGTACATTAGGTGATGGAAGCTGTGTTGTTTTTAAAAAATAGCAAAATAAAACCCACGAAAAGATGTCCAAACACACGATGTGATTTGATAGATGGTATGGTGGTGAGATAGAGGAGAAATAATTGAAGAAATGTGTGTATCTTATAGTATGCTTTAAAGTTACTTCGAAGAAAATTCAGTATTTTGAAGGCTTATCTTAAAAAGACACTTAGAAAATATTCTTATGGTTATCATTGAGAATTCTAAAGGCTATTCTTTTTTTCTTCTTCCTTCCTTCTTTCCTTATTCTTTTTTTTTCATTTCTTCCTTCCTTTTTCTGTGGGAGCTATTTGGAAAGTCAATCCTATCATATTGGTCACACAATTTATCAAATTCAATAATGTATACCTCTGTAATAATCACTACGGGTGATAAAGAGAAAAAAACTCTGCCCCCCTGTTCACAAGGATATTATAGACCTAAGGAAGCATTAGGACTAAATATGTGCAAAGCAGAGGGAATGACCATTCTAGAGATCAAAGCACCTGTTTTTGCAGCAGTCTTGTTATGATGCTTCCTGCACATTCAGCGGAGCAGTGATGAGGCCATTCACTCAGAAGCTAACAAATAGTAAGAGTTAGGATCAAAGGAGCATTGACAAGAAAATGCAAAAGGTTCCCAAATCTCTGCATCAGAAATTCCTTGTGTGTTAGCAGAGATGCTCGTCCCATTTGCATGCGTGCTATTTCTATATTCACTCAATTTTCAAATATTTATTGAAATATAAAGATGAGAATCTCAAGGGACTCATAGACACGAAAGATGGATTTTTTAAAGATTTTTTTTATTTGTTTGTTTGACAGAGTAAGAGACAGTGAGAGAGAGACAGAGAGAAAGGTCTTCCTTCTGTTGGTTCACTCCCCAAATGGCTGCCACGGCCAGCGCTGCACCGATTCGAAGCCAGGAGCCAGGTGCTTCCTCCTGGTCTCTCATGCGGGTGCAGGGGCCCAAGCACTTGGGCCATCCTCCACTGCCCTCTGGGGCCACAGAAGAGAGCTGGACTGGAAGAGGAGCAGCCGGGACTAGAACCCAGTGCCCATTTGAGATGCCGGCACTGAGGCGGAGGATTAACCAAGTGAGCCACGGCACCAGCCCCAAAAAGATAGATCTTTTAAGAGAATGTCTGCAAAGGCTATAGATGCTTTATGGAAGTTTAGGTGGAAATTAATTCTGCTGGAAAGTGATCAGAAATACCGTCTGTGTTTGCCACCCTTTTGCCCCTATAACTACAATACTGGAAATAAGCTACTTAAGAAGAAAGGATGTCCATTTGGGCTCCAAGTTCTGGAGGTTCACAGTAGCAGATAGTGTAGCCTCATTGATCTGGCATCTGCTGAAGGCAGTGGGCTGCAGAACATGTGCAGAAGAATAATCACATGGTAAATCCAGGAATCATAGAGCAGCTGGGCCTGACTCAGGCTTATATAATCAACTTCTCATGAGATCTATTTCTTAGGGCACAGCCTCAATGACCTAAGGACTTCCCACTAGGGTCTACCTCCTAAGTACATAATTGGATCAAGTCTTCACCCTCTCACAATAGCACCACTTGGGGCCAAACATTTAACACATGGGTCTTTAGGGGATACAAAAGTAATATCCAAACTATAGCACCTTGGCTGGCACCGCGGCTCACTAGGCTAATCCTCTGCCTTGCGGCGCCAGCACACCGGGTTCTAGTCCTGGCCGGGGCGCTGGATTCTGTCCCAGTTGCTCCTCTTCATGTCCAGCTCTCTGCTGTGGCCAGGGAGTGCAGTGGAGGATGGCCCAAGTGCTTGGGCCCTGCACCCCATGGGAGACCAGGAGAAGTACCTGGCTCCTGCCATAGGATCAGCGCAGTGCGCTGGCCGCAGCGTGCCGGCCACGGCGGCCATTGGAGGGTGAACCAACGGCAAAGGAAGACCTTTCTCTCTATCTCTCTCTCTCACTGTCCACTCTGCCTGTCAATAAATAAATAAAAATAATAATAAAATAAAAAAAACACAAACTATAGCACCTTTACAGAAAAGTTCACTGTTGAATTGAATCTAGAAATAAGTAGATATTTGACCAGCATGTGTAAAGTTGAGGGACAGGCACGCAGAAAGAGATGAGATCCAAGGCATCAAAAATGGCACTGAAAGCATGATCATCATTGATGCAAAAACTCTTCCAGTGTCTAGCAAACTTGACTTTGCTGTGGGCTATTGGCATTATTGGGGAGAGGAGGCTAAAGAGGAAGGTTGTAGTCAGACCACTCAGAAGGTCTGTTTGGTTCCTTTGCTTGCAGGCCCATGGGTTACCTCTATGGTGATGAACACCTCCTCTCTTCACACTGCAACCTGTGAACTCCCAACCCCAGGTGATACTGAGAGTCACTCACCTTGTGGCGGGGCAGCTAATGCAATCTTCTTGGGTTGGCCCCCAGCACTTGGCACATGAAGCTTCACAGGTCTGGCAGTGGCCATGCTTGTCAACATATTCTCCTGGGGAATGAGATCTTGTTGTTTATTTCATTATTACATGAAAAACTGCCTGAATGCTGTCTCTTTGCCTGAAAGCTATGGAGCTGATGCAGAGAAAAGAGGCCCTGAAAAGCTTCAGCTGACAACCTCAAACCTTGAGTTGCTTCACACAGCAACTGCTCGTCTCCCAGGGGCCCATCAGTTGGAGCCTCAGGAAGTTATGAGGCAGTGACACAGTTCTGGATCTTTTCACCATGTGTTTCAGATTTTAAAAGTAAGGGAGGCCCAGGGGGCTTCCCACCAGATCCCTTCCCTGAGCTCCTGCTGACTTTCCTACAAACGGAGGCCTCCTGATCCACAGAAGCCTAGTCACAGTCTGTGCTCAAGTTGAGGAGTGAGCAGGATCTACCCAAATCTTCTCTTATAACTCAGGTTTGGGGAAGAGGATTGTGGCGACTGGGCAAGAATGGGAGTTGGCTAGGCTGACATTCAGCAAGTGTAGATTTTATCTTACCCTGACAGAGTAACAGTGAAGAGATAGCCAGAGAATTGTCCTTTTCCTTGCAAGTTTCTTTCCCAAGGAGAAATACCCATGAACTATTGCCACAGAAGTCAGTCCAGCCACACGAATATCTTATGAACACACAAGAAGTTACTCCCATGGGAAAGAGTGGCAGATAGAGTCCACTGTCATTGAAGGTGATTGTCCAGAGGTGGGTCTCCAGACACTGGATTCAACCTTTGTTCCCACACTCATCTTCCCTTACTGTTGTCTGAAAGATAATTGACAGTCTTCTTCACTCAAATCCAAAAGGCCATTTTTTCTAGTTTGAAAACGGATAATACTCGTGAAATACAGCTGGCCAAGTCACAACCTTCACTCAACCTCACCTCACCCCCAACTTGCACAGCCCTGTAAGCCTGTCTGAACATCGTCAATCAGAGATCCAGCTGGTGCGGTGACCTATTCGCTGTTTAATCAAGCTGTCCCAATGAAATCCTAATATTCATCACTTGATTTCTTTTAGCTGCGTTCAAAACAGCCCTGGAAACATTTTGCCTGATGAGGGATGGAGGGAAATCCACCCAGTCACCTTTTCCTTGTACTTTTATTGAACAGGTACATTTAGTACAGGTAAGCCTTATATCCATGCATCTTGCACTTGCCAGCCCTAAACCACACAAAATTAAATGAGATTGCTAGAGTTTGCATTTACATAGCAGAAAAAGGCTTTCATGTAGTCCTTTTTCTTTTCTTTTAAATTTTCGCTTATTTATTTGAAAGGAAAGGAGGAAAAGAAGGAGGAAAGGAGGAGAAGAGCAGAGGGATCTTACATCTGTTACTTCAATCCCCACATGCCCATAACAACTGGGGTTGGGCTAGGCTGGAACCAGGAACTCAATTCAGGTATCCCATGTGAATGGTAGGGATCCAAATACTTGAGCTATCACCTTCTGTCTTCTACAGTGCACATTAACAGGAAGCTGGAATCAGAAGAAGATCTGAAACTTGTACCCAAGCACTCCCATATAGGACGTGGGCATCCCAAATGGCTCCAAACACCTGCTCTTCATTTAGAGTTATTCTATTAGTTGTGTTAACTGAGGATTAAACATACATGTTCAGAGTGATGCAAGCAGCTAATAGCAGCCTACTTATTTCAACTGGATTGTGTTGTTTTAAGAGTTCTAATTGTTACCGAGGTACGATGTGGACCAGGAATCTGACATAACTTTCAGAATACGGTGCATGTTCTCAGCTCAGGAGTAAGCAGATCCCACAGGAGACATAGGTCTCTGAGAGTGAGTAGCAAGAAAGGACAGAGAAGGCATAAACACAGGTTGTTTCCTGCACAAGGTTCCTGCTTGCCAAATAGTCAAGTGGAGGCTGAAATCCAGTGCCTGTTTGTCTCACCACACCATTCATTCTGATGTTGGCTATCTCTCTCTGTAGGGAGTATCTTTTACTAACTGGCACAAAGGTGTTGAATAGATGAACTGCATTCTTGATCATCAGTAATCCAAAGTTAGATAAAAGTCAAGGCTTATGTCTAGTAGGAATGGTGATTTCAAGTTGAGATATTTTCATTTAACATAAGTGTATTGTATATGTAACATTTTTATTTGTACAAGGTCTACAGTTCCACCTCTTATTTATTACCCTTGTTACAATCTGTTCCACTGTTGTGATAGAAGGCACAACCAATTGATCAGTATGATTATCAGTCCAGGCACTAGCAAAATTAAGAGCAGAAAACCAGGTAAGATGTTGTAAGAAGAAGCTGAACTTGTCTATAGGGGCCAGTGCAAACAATTTGTGTTTACAGAATCATATGATATCTATGTATCTTTCAAAATATATATTCTGAGTGGAACATGAATAGAGGAATGTCACAGAGGTTCCAAAATTCAAAGAAATATTATTATAGAAAAACATAGGCTTATAGAGAGCACAACTTCTTGATTCATTCATTCCTTGGATACTTTTGGAAATCTACAGAGATAGTTATAACATAAGTGCTAGCCAGGAGCCTTTTACTTCCTCACACAGTTGAGACTAAAGACTAAAATAGAAGAGTAAGGGCACGCAGTAGACTGATAGAGACAAAGATTCAACTTCTTTGCCTTGGCATCAGTGCCTTTAAGAACTGGTTCTTCCAACTTCTCATGCTCATTCATATTAACCTTCATGATGTATAGATCCAATGCTAAGAAAGGAGTTTAAACTAAAACATCTTTCTCTGCTACATCAAATGCTACTTAGATGGTTCTGAAAATTATACTACATCTACAGCCAAAGTCTTCTTTGCTAATTACAGATGATACACTGCTAGCTAAGGAAAGGTTATTAGGATTTATGGTGGAAATTTTATATTCTCTTTTGTATCTCATTACTTTCTCATTGGCTTATGTAAACCAGTAGGTTGCATTGATACCTTGGCTTTGTTTTTCCTTGACCTGCTCGGTTGTCACGTCTTCTGTTGGAACACAGAAAGTACCACCTTTGACTACTAGGCTTTGCAGTGGCCAAGACTTCAAAAGCACTCCAAATACAACCTTCTTATGTCCACTATAATTTGACATTTCCCCAAGTGACTTCCCACAATGTCAGGCCATCCATTCAATCATTGCTCTCTAGCTCACCCTGGGGCTAGGTTAAATCTTCCTAAGGCCTAAGTTACACCCATTCTCTGTTGGAAGGAGACAGCACCTTCACACTTACTGACCAGATAACTGAGCTCTCTTGGCTTCTTTTTCCTCAATGCCAAAATCCCTCTCTATCTGCTCCATGACTGATCACTTATCTTGTATCTCTGAGAAAGATGTGCCTGGCCATTGCCAACTCTCTAATGCTGTCAATCTTCTTGCCTCAGGCTATTTCTTCCACCAATTCTCTCTTCAGTCACTGCTTCACACCTACCTCATTCTCTGACCCCTGAAAGTTTTCCCTCTCCTTAAAACCTTCCCAAACCCTTTCTCTCCCTGGTAAGTCATTCTTCAAACTTGTTTTTCTCCCTCCTACTATTTGGAAGCCAAATGGAGGAAACTTCATGACCTTGGTGCTTATGTAAGGGAGTCAGTGTAGGACAGTTAACCTGTGCATCCCTCTCAAGTCTAAGCCTTCTTCACTTTAGAGCAAACTCTAGTGTTAGGACAGACGAGAACAGAGGGATCTGCCCAAATTCTCATATTCGTGTAGATATCCAATTAGTTACATAAACAACTACCCCCAGCCCTTGGAGGCACACTGCACATTTGGAATCTTAGAAGTCAGAGTCCAAGGACATAGGGAAGTTGTTTTTTTTTTTTTGATTGTTGGAGCAGCAAATTCTTGTCATCTGTCTTCATTGCACAACGAAGCTAAATGTTTATGACAAGCGTGACATACAAAACTCTTAGAAAAAGTCACTTTTAGCAGAGATGATATTTTGTTTTCTACCTCATCCTACAAGTTCTTCTTTCTGGCGTCTTTACCCATTATTATTATGTCCAAATCGTCTTCAGAATTTTTCCATTTCCTTTTTAGTTTCTGTCTCATCTTGTCCTACAGTGGTTCAAAGGTTCTTGAGGAAGTAGTGTCACCTGGGGAGGCATGATGCCTTGAAAGTTGAAGACCTGGCTTAAAAATCAATACCCATAAATTTAAAAGTTTACAAGTAAGTGGCTTGTGCTGCTCATCCTGTGACTTGACTTGAAATGTGTTAATGACAATCCTAGGTTATAAACCAACATTATGAAGTCATCCAGGATAGGTAAACCTGTATCGTATCATCCAGTTATAAAACATGATTGAGACTTATTTCTTAGGTTACCTGGCTAGAAGAACTTAATTTCTCCTGAAGAAATACTATGCTTTCTTTTAGACCTTATTTTTTAATTGGCTAGAGCCAAATTTATTGTAGAATTTAAGCGAATAGCTATATACACTAAATAAATGAACAAACCTATAAGTAGATAGATTGTGATGTGAATTTAAAACAACTTTTTAGCAAGGTGATAAGTAAGAGAGGGCGATGGGAACATCTGGTGAGAATTCAACCAGCTGGTTTTGTTTCTTATTTCAGTGAGCAAACTTGAAGTTCTGAATTACCTGGAGATACCCATAGGAGGGCTGTTTGTGTGCCTTTTCACTCAGATGCCAGGAATGAAAAAGTGTGACTTTTTTTTTCCTGAATGATTCTACAACCACAGTGCGAATCAAATAATACCATCTCTTTGTAAGGCTGCCAATACATAATTTCCAATTTTAGATACCACTCTGAAGACAATTTCCTTGAAAAAAATCTATACGTTTATTACTTTCCACCAGCTACAATAAATGCCCAGCAACACTTTCAACTAATTACATGCTAATGAAATAAGTCCATTTTCAAAGCCTTGTTAAGCATGATGTTTTACAGCAATGCTTAAAATATGAGAGCATCAGCTAGCTCTGCAGTCTTTAAAGTCTATATCATCATTCAGCCTTAAAGAGGAAGAAAATTCTGACACATGCTACAACATTGATGAACCTTGCAGAC